AGTGTTAGCGTACGGGTTAGGATTAGGGAACGGGTTAGGGTAAGGCTTCGGGTCAGGATTAGAGTTAGGGTTAGGGTTAGGGGACGGGGACGGTTTAGGGTACAAGTTAGGGTACGACAACGGTTTTGGGTGAGCGTACTTTAGGGTATGGGTTAGTGTTAGCGTACGGGTTAGGATTAGGGGATGGGTTAGGGTAGGGATTTGGGTAAGGGTTAGGGTTAGGGTTAGGGGACGGGGACAGGTTAGGGTACAGGTTAGGTTACGACAAAGGTTTAGGTTGACCGTACGTTTTAGGGTAGGGGTAAGTGTTAGCGCACGGGTTAGGCTTACGAGACGGTTAGGAGAAGGCTTCGGGTAAGGGTTAGGGTTAGGTTTAGGGGACGCGGACAGGGACGCGGACAGTTTAGGGTACAGGTTAGGGTACGACAACAGTTTAAAGTGAGTGTACGTGTTAGCGTACGGGTTAGTGTTAGCGTACGGTTTAGGATTAGGGGACGGGTTAGGGTAAGGCTTCAGGTAAGGGTTAGGGTTAGGGTTAGGGTTATAGGACGGGGACGGCTAGGATACAGGTTAGGGTACGACAACGGTTTAGGGTGAGCGTACGTGTTAGGGTACAGGTTAGTGTTAGTGTATGGGTTAGGACTAGGTGATGGGTTAGGGTTAGGGTTAGGGTTACAGAACTGGGACGGGGACGGTTCAGGGTACAGGTTAGTGTACGACAACTGTTTAGGGTGACCGTATGTGTTAGGGTTAGGGTTAGGGGACGGTGACGGTTTAGGGTACAGGTTAGGATATGACAACGGTTCTGGGTGAGCGTACGTGTTAGGTTACGGGTTAGTGTAAGCGTACAGGTTAGGATTAGGGGACGGGTTAGGGTAAGGCTTTGGGTAAGGGTTAGGGTTAGGGGATGGGGACAGTTTAGGGTACAGGTTAGGGTACGATAACGTTTTAGAGTGAGCGTACGTGTTAGGGTATGGGTTAGTGTTAGTGTAAGGGTGAATTTAGGGGACGGGTTAGGGTAAGGCTTCGGGTAAGGGTTAGGTTTATGGTTCGGGTTAGGGGACGGGGACGGTTTAGGGTACAGGTTAGGGTACGACAATGGTTTAGGGTGAGCGTACATTTAGGGTATGGGTTAGTGTTAGCGTATGGGTTAGGATTAGGGGATGGTTTAGGGTAAGGCTTCGGGTAAGGGTTAGGGTTAGGGTTAGTGATAGGGATAGGGGACGGGGATGGTTTATGGTACAGGTTAGGGTACGACAACGGTTTAGGGTGAGCGTACGTGTTAGGGTCGGGTTAGAGTTAGCGTACGGGTTAGGATGAGGGGACGGGTTTGGGTAACGCTTCGGGTAAGTGTTAGGGTTAGGGTTAGGGTTAGGGGACGGGGAAGGTTTAGGGTACAGGTTATGGTACGACAACGGTTTTGGGTGAGCATACGTGTTAGGGTAGGGGTTAGTGTTAGCGTATGGGTTAGGATTACGGGACAGGTTAGGGTTAGGGTTAGGGGACGGGCACGGTTTAGGGTACAGGTTAGTGTACGACAACTGTTTAGGGTCAGTGTACGTGTTAGGGTACGGGTTAGTGTTAGCGTATGGGTTAGGATTAGGGGACGTGTTAGGGTAAGGCTTCAGTTAAGGGTTCGGGTTAGGGTTAGGGGACGGGGACGGTTTAGGGTACAGGTTAGGGTACAACAATGGTTCAGGGTGAGCGTACGTGTTAGGGTACAGGTTAGTGTAAGCGTACGGGTTAGGATAGGGGACGGGTTAGGGTAAGGCTTCGGGTAAGGTTTAGGGTTAGGGTTAGGGGGCGCGGATGGTTGAGGGTACAGCTTAGGGTACGACAATGTTTTAGGGTGAGCGTACGTGTTAGGGTACGGGTTAGTGTTAGCATACGGGTTAGGATTAGGCGACGGTTAAGGCTAAGGCTTCCGGTTGGGTTAGGGTTAGGGGACGGGGATGGTGTAGGGTACAGGTTATGGTACGACAATGGTTTAGGGTGAGCGTACGTGTTAGGATACGGTTTACTGTTAGCGTAGAGGTTAGGATTAGGTGACGGGTTAGGGTAAGGCTTCAGGTAAGTGTTAGGGTTAGGGTTAGGGTTAGGAGATGTGGAATGTTTAGGGTACAGCTTGGGGTAGGACAACAGTTTAGGGTGAGCGTACGTGTTAGGGTACGGGTTAGTGCTAGCGTACGGGTTAGGATTAGGGGATGGGTTAGGTTAAGGCTTCGGGTAAGGGTTAGGGTTAGGGTTAGGGGACGGGGACGGTTTAGGGTACAGGTTAGTGTATGACAACGGTTTAGGGTGAGCATACGTTATAGGGTACTGTTTAGTCTTAGCGTACGGGTTAGGATTAGGTGACGGGTTAGGGTAAGGCTTCGACTAAGGGTTAGGTTTAGGGTTAGGGTGAGAGTTAGGGAACGGGGAGGGTTTAGGGTACAGGTTAGGGTACGACAATGTTGCAGGGTGAGAGTACGTGTTAGGGTACGGGTTAGTGTAAGCGTACGGGTTAGGATTAGGGGACGCGTTAGGGTAAGGCTTCGGGTAAGGGTTAGTGTTAGGGGACGGGGACGGTTTAGTGTACAGCTTAGGGTACGACAACGTTTTAGGGTGAGCGTACATGTTAGGGTACGGGTTAGTGTTAGCGTATGGGTTACGATTAGGGCACGGGATAGGGTAAGGCTTCGGGTATGGGTTAGGGATAGGGTTAGGGACGGGGACGGTTTAGGGTACAGGTTAGGGTACGACAACTGTTTAGTGTGAGCGTACGTGTTAGGGTATGCTTAGTGTTAGCGTTCGGGTTAGGATTAGGGGACGGGTTAAGGTAAGGCTTCGGGTAAGGGTTAGGGTTAGTGTACGGGGTTGGTTTAGGGTACAGTTTAGGGTAAGACAACGGTTTAGAATGAGCGTACGTGTTACGGTACGGGTGTTAGTGTACGGGTTAGGATGAGGGGACGGGTTTGGGTAACGCTTCGGGTAAGTGTTAGGGTTAGGGGACGGGGAAGGTTCAGGGTACAGGTTAGGGTACGACAATGGTTTTGGGTGAGCATACGTGTTAGGGTAGGGGTTAGTGTTAGCGTATGGGTTAGGATTACGGGACGGGTTAGGGGACGGGGACGGGGACGGTTTAGGGTACAGGTTAGTGTACGACAACCGTTTAGGGTCAGTGTACGAGTTAGGGTCGGGTTAGTGTTAGCGTACGGGTTAGGATTAGGGGACGTGTTAGGGTAAGGCTTCGGTTAAGGGTTAGGGTTAGGTTTAGGGTTAGGGTTAGGGGACGGGGAGGGTTTAGGGTACAGATTAATGTACGACAACTGTTTAGGGTGAGCATATGTGTTAGGGTTAGGGTTAGGGATAGGGTGAGGATTAGTGTTAGGGGACGGTGACGCTTTAGGGTACAGTTTAGGATACAACAACGGTTTAGGGTGAGTGTACGTGTTAGGGTATGGGTTAGTGTTAGCTTACGGGTTAGGATTTGGGGACGGGTTAGACTAAGGCTTCAGATAAGTGTTAGGGTTAGGGTTAGGGGATGGGGATGGTTTTTGGTACAATTTAGGGTACGACAACTGTTTAGGGTGAGCGTATGTGTTAGGGTACGGGTTAGTGTTAGCGTACGGGTTAGGATTAGGGGACCGGTTACGGTAAGACTTCGGGTAAGGGTTAGGGTTAGGGGACGGGGATGGTCTAGTGTACAGGTTAGGGTACGAGAACGGTTTAGGTTAAGCGTACGTGTTAGGGTACGGGTTAGTGTTATTGTATGGGTTAAATTAGAGGACAGGTTAGAGTAAGGCTTCGTGTAAGGGTTAGGGTTAGGGTTAGTGTTAGGGTTATGGGACGGGGACGGGGATGGTTTAGGGTACAGGCTAGGGTACGACAACAGTTTAGGGTAAGCGTACATGTTAGGGTACGGGTTAGTGTTAGCGTACGGGTTAGGATCAGGGGACGGTTTAGGGTAAGGCTTCGGGTAAGGGTTAGGGTTAGGGTCAGGGTTAGGGGTCAGGGTTAGGGGACGGGGACGGTTTATGGTACAGGTTAGGTTACGACAATGGTTTAGGGTCAGTGTACGTGTTAGGGTACGTGTTAGTGTTAGTTTACGGGTTAGGATTAGGGGACGGGTTAGGGTAACGCTTCGGGTAATGGTTAGGGTTAGGGGATGGGGAAGGTTTAGGGTACAGGTTAGGGTACGACAATGGTTCAGGTTGAGCGTACGTGTTAGGGTACGGGTTAGTGTAAGCGTATGGGATAGGATTAGGGGACGTGTTAGGGTAAGGCTTCGGGTAAGGGTTAGGGTTAGGGTGAGGGTTAGGGAACGGGGACGGTTTAGGGTATACGGTAGGGTACGACAACGGTTTAGGCTGAGCGTTCGTGTGAGGGTATAGGTTAGTGTTAGCGTAGGGGTTAGGATTAGGGGCGGGTTAGGGTAAGGGTTAGGGTTAGAGTTAGGGGATAGGGACAGTTTAGGGTACAGGTTATGGTACGACAACGGTTTAGGATGAGCATACGGGTTAGGATATGGTTTAGTGTTAGCGTACAGGTTAGGATTAGGGGACGGGTTAGGGTAAGGCTTCGGGTAAGGGTTAGGGTTAGGGGTAGGGGATGGGGATGGTTTAGGGTACAGGTTAGGGTACGACAACTGTTTAGGGTGAGTGTACGTGTTAGGGTATGGGTTAGTGTTACTGTACGGGTAGGATTTGGGACGTGTTAGTGTAAGGCTTCAGGTTAGGGTTAGGAGACGGGGAATGTTTAGGGTACAGGTTGGGGTACGACAACGGTTTAGGGTGAGCGTACATGTTAGGGTACGGATTAGTGTTAGCATACGGGTTAGGATTAGGGGATGGGTTAGGGTAAGGCTTAGGGTAAGGGTTAGGGTTAGGGTTAGGGGATGGGGACGGTTTAGGGTACAGGTTAGGGTACGACAACAGTTTATGGTGTGCATATGTGTTAGGGTACTGGTTAGTGTCAGCGTATGTGTTAGGATTAGGGGAGGGGTTAGGGTAAGGCTTCAGGTTAGGGTTAGGGTTAGGGAATGGGGATGGTTTAGGGTACAGCTTAGGGTACGACAGTGGTTTAGGGTGAGCGTACATGTTAGGGTATGAGTTAGTGTTAGCATATGGGTTAGGATCAGGGGACGGTTTAGGGTAGGGCTTTGTGTAAGGGTTAGGGTGAGGGTTAGTGTTAGGGTTAGGGGACAGGGACGGTTTAGAGTACAGGTTAGGGTACGACAATGGTTTAGGTTGAGCGTACGTGTTAGGGTACGGGTTAGTGTTAGTGTACGGGTTAGGAATAGGGGAGGGGTTAGGGTAAGGCTTCGAGTAAGGGTTAGGGTTAGGGTTAGGGCTACGGGACGGGGAAGTTTTAGGGTACAGGTTAGGTTACGACAACGGTTTTGGGTGAGCATATGTGTTAGGGTACAGGTTAGTGTTATCGTACGGGACAGGATTACGGGATGGGTTAGGGTTAGGGTTAGGGGACGGGGACGGTTTAGGGTACAGATTAGTGTATGACAACTGTTTAGGGTCAGTGTACGTGTTAGGGTACCGGTTAGTGTTAGTGTACGGGGTAGGATTAGGGGACGTGTTAGGGTAAGGCTTCAGGTAAGGGTTAGGGTTAGTGTTAGGTTTAGGGGACGGGGACGGTTTAGGGTACAGATTAGGGTACGACAATGGTTCAGGGTGAGCGTACGTGTTAGGGTACAGGTTAGTGTTAGCGTACGGGTTAGGATTAGGTGACGGGTTAGGGTAAGGCTTTGGTTAAGGGTTAGGGTTAGGGGACGGGGACGGTTTAGGGTACAGTTAGGGTACGACAATGTTTTAGGTTGAGCGTACATGTTAGGGTATGGGTTAGTGTTAGCGTACGGTTTAGGATTAGGGGAACACTTAGGATAAGGCTTCGGGTATGGGTTAGGGTTAGGGTTAGGGTTAGGGGATGGGGACGGCTTAGGGTACAGGTTAGGGTACGACAACTGTTTAGGGTGAATGTACGTGTTACGGTATGAGTTAGTGTTAGCGTTCTGTTTAGGATTAGGGGACGGGTTAGTGTAAGGCTTCCGGTAAGGGTTAGGGTTAGGGTACAGGGTTGGTTTTGGGTACAGGTTAGGGTTTAGAGTGAGAGTACGTGTTAGGGTACGGGTCAGTGTTAGCATACAGGTTAGGATTAGGGGACGGGTTATGGTCAGGCTTCGGGTAAGGGTTAGGGTTAGGGTTAGGGTTTGGGGATGGGGACGGTTTAGGGTACAGGTTAGGGTACGACAACTCTTTAGGGTGAGCATACGTGTTAGGGTACGGGTTAGTGTTAGCGTACATGTTGGGATTAGGGGACGTGTTAGGGTAAGGCTTTGGGTAAGGGTTAGGGTTAGGGGACGGGGACGGTTTAGGGTACAGGTTAGTGTACGACAACGGTTTAGGGTGAGCATACATGTTAGGGTACGGTTTAGTCTTAGCCTACGGGTTAGGATTAGGGGACTGGTTAGGGTAAGGCTTCGGGTGAGGGTTAGGTTTAGGGTTAGGTTTAGGGTGCGGGTTAGGGAACGGGGAAGGTTTAGGGTACAGGTTAGGGTACGACAACGGTTTCGGTTGAGTGTACGTGTTAGGGTACGGGTTAGTGTTAGGGTACGGTTTAGGATTAGGGGACGGTTTAGGGTAAGGCTTCGGGTAACAGTTAGGTTTAGGGTTAGGGTTTAGGGACGGGGATGGTTTAGGGTACAGGTTAGGGTACGACAACGATTTAGGGTGTGCGTATGTGTTAGGGTACGGGTTAGTGTTAGTGTACGGGTTAGGATTAGGGGACCAGTTAGTGTAAGGCTTCGGGTAAGGGTTAGGTTTAGGGTTAGGGGATGGGGACGGTTTAGGGTACAGGTTAGTCTATGACAATGGTTTAGGGTGAGCGTACGTGTTAGGGTATGGGTAAGTGTTAGGGTACCATTTAGGATTAGGGGACGGGTTAGCATAAGGCTTCGGGTAAGTTTTATGGTTAGGGTTAGGTTTAGGGTACTGGGACGGGGAAGGTTTAGGGTACAGGTCAGGGTACGACAACATTTTCGGTTGAGTGTACGTGTTAGGGTACGGGTTAGTGTTAGCGTACCGGTTAGGCTTAGGGGATGGTTTAGGGTAAGGTTTCGGGTAAGGGTTAGAGTTAGGGGACGGGGACGGTTTAGGGTACAGGTTAGGCTACGACAATGATTTAGGGTGAGCGTACGTGTTAGGGTACGGGTTAGTGTTAGGGTACGGTTTAGGATTAGGAGACGGGTTAGGGTAAGGCTTTGGGTAAGGGTTAGGGTTAGGGGTAGGGGATGGGGACGGTTTAGGGTACAGGTTAGGGTACGTCAATGGTTTAGGGTAGCGTACGTGTTAGGGTACATGTTAGTGGTAGCGTATGGGTTAGGATTAGGGGACAGGTTAGGTTAAGGCTTCGGGTAAGGGTTAGGGTTTGGGTTACGGTTAGGGTTAGCGGACGGGGACTATTTAGGATACAGGTTAGGGTATAACAACGGTTTAGGGTGAGTGTATGTGTTAGGGTTCGGGTTAGAGTTAGTGTACGGGTTAGGATTAGGGGACGGGTTAGGGTAAGGCTTTGGGTAAGGGTTGGGATTAGGGTTAGTGTTACGGTGAGGGTTCGGGTTAGGGGACGGATACGGTTTACGGTACAGGTTACGGTACGACAACGGTTTAGGGTGAGCGTACGTGTTAGAGTATGGGTTACTGTTAGTGTACGGGTTAGAATTAGGGGACGGGTTAGGGTAAGGCTTCGGGTAAGGGTTAGGGTTAGGGGTAGGGGATGGGGACGGTTTAGGTTACAGGTTAGGGTACGTCAATGGTTTAGGGTAGCGTACGTGTTAGGGTACGTGTTAGTGGTAGCGTACGGGTTAGGATTAGGGGACAGGTTAGGGTAAGGCTTCGGGTAAGGGTTAGGGTTAGGGTTCGGGTTAGAGGATGGGGAAGGTTTAGGGTACAGGTTAGGGTACGACAACGGTTTAGGGTGAATGTATGTGTTAGGGTACGGGGTAGTGTTAGCGTACGGGTTAGGATTATGGGACGGGTTAGGGTACGCTTCGGGTAAGGGTTAGGTTTATGGTTAGGGTTAGTGTTAGGGGAAAGGGACGGTTTAGGGTACAGTTTAGGGTTCGACAACGGTTTAGGGTGAGCGAACATGTTAGGGTATGGGTTAGTGTTAGCGTACGGGTTAGCATTAGGCGACGGGGTAGTGTAAGGTTTAGGGTTGGGTTATGGTTAGTGTGAGGGTTAGGGTTAGGGGATGGGGATGGTTCAGGGTACAGGTTAGGGTACAACAACGGTTTAGGGTGAGCGTACGTGATAGGGTATGGGTTACTGTTAGTGTACGGGTTAGGATTAGGGGACGGGTTAGGGTAAGGCTTCGGGTAAGGGGTAGGGTTAGGGTTAGGGGATGGGGACGGTTTAGGGTACAGGTAAGGGTACGAAAAAGGTTTAGGGTGAGCGTACGTGTGAGGGTACGGGTTAGTGTTAGCGTATGGGTTAGGATTAGGGGACGGGTTAGGGTAAGGCTTCGGGTAAGGGTTAGGGTTAGGGGACGGGGATGGTTTAGGGTACAGTTTAGGGTACGAAAAAGTTTTAGGGTGAGCGTACATGTTAGGGTACTGGGTAGTGTTAGTGTAAGGGTTAGGATTAGGGGACGGTTTAGGGTAAGGCTGAGGGTAAGGGTTACGGTTAGGGTCAGGGGACAGGGATGGTTTAGGGTACAGGTTAGGGTATGACAATGGTTTAGGGTGAGCATACGTGTTATGGTATGGGTTAGTGTTAGCGTACGGATTAGGATTAAGGGACAGGTTAGTGTAAGGCTTCGGGTAAGGGTTAGCTTTAGCGTTAGGATTAGAGTTAGGGGATGGGGACGGTTTAGGGTACAGGTTAGGCTATGACAACGGTTTAGGGTGAGCGTACGTGTTAGGGTATGGGTTAGTGTTAGGGTACCATTTAGGATTAGGGGACGGGTTAGGATAAAGCTTCGGGTAAGTTTTATGGTTAGGGTTAGGGGACGGGGAAGGTTTAGGGTACAGGTTAGGTACGACAACGGTTTCAGTTCAGCGTACGTGTTAGGGTACGGGTTAGTGTTAGCGTACCGGTTAGGATTAGGGGATGGTTTAGGGTAAGTCTTCGGGTAAGGGTTAGGTTTTGGGTTAGGGTTAGGGTTAGTGGACTGGGAGTGTTTAGGATACAGGTTAGGGTATAACAACAGTTTAGGGTGAGTGTATGTGTTAGGGTACGGGTTAGAGTTTGCGTACGGGTTAGGATTAGGGGACGGGTTAGGGTAAGGCTTCGGGTAGGGATTGGGGTTAGGGTTAGTGTTATGGTGATGGTTTGGGTTAGGGGACGGGTACGGTTTACGGTACAGGTTAGGGTACGACACCGGTTTAGGGTGAGCGTACGTGTTAGAGTACGGGTTACTGTTAGTGTACGGGTTAGGATTAGGGGACGGGTTAGGGTAAGGCTTCGGGTAAGGGTTAGTGTTTGGGGTAGGGTTTTTGGACGAGGATGGGATGGTTTAGGGTACAGGTTAGGGTACGACAACGGTTTAGGTTGAGCGTACATTTTAGGGTATGGGTTAGTGTTAGTGTACGGGTTAGGATTAGGGTACGTTTTAGGGTA